AGTCGGCAGATCTCCCTCACATAGACATTACCACATGCGTACAAAACCTTGTAATAGCCTGATCTAGAAAGAGGTACGAAAATTCTCTAAATGGATGAACTACTGAAGAAATTATATGTGGGTTGACCTCGTTATTGCAACTTGGTCTTGTTGTCAGAGGAACTTAGTAGAAGCACCTTCTCTGAAGACCTCTGCTATAGTAATTATCATAATTCGGGGCATCAGACCGTCGACTTGGCACATTCTCAGACGTTTCGCCGGCATCGTAGTCGGTGGAGTATCTCTTTGACGAGTTTGTAGCTTGTTGCGGAGAGTAGCAGCACTCACTGATGATGTCGACTACGATGCCGGCGAAGCATCTGAGAATGTTTGGGACCCTCAATCAATAACGCATTCACATTACTTTAAAAAATTAAGTATTAATAATTGCTATATATGACTATTATTACTCAAATAACAACCGCTAAATTCTAAATATACATCGCAAATATATATTTGGATGTTTAAATTATTTCATTCATTAAATATCCTGTACCGAATATATTTTAAAATAATATATTTTGTATAAGTGTTCAGGAGATTATCATAATTTGTTATCTCAGAACTTTGCACCTTTCAAGCTTGGTAGCTCTCCCTCTATTCCCGTCTTCCCTTGTCTTTCTATGTTACTCAATATCGTGCCTCATTAGTACTTTCTATGAATATGATCCAATAGGCATATATTTTTACCTTATTAAAAAGATGTCTGCAGACGAAGCATCTCTTGAAGGTCTTACAAACATATTATGTGAGCTTTACTCTGGACAGTCAAATGGTGAGAGATTAAAATCGTTGCAAAATGTTCTCGTTGAATTTGAACTTCAACCCAATGCCTGCGGAGTTGCTCTTTACTACTTGGCAAAAACTCAAAACCAATATGTGTTCATGTATTGTTTGGGTGTCATAGAAAAGACTGTACTCAAAAAGTGGATTTTGAAGGACGAATCCGAAAAGTTGCAAATAAGGCAGTTTGTAACGACATTATTTCAAAGCTTTGAGAGGCTTTCGCAAAAATTAGATGCTCAAGTAATCTATTTTTTGCAGGCAAAAACCAGTAAGATCCTTGCTGACATCGCTCGCTTTGACTGGCCTTGTTCTTTTCCTGAATTCTTTGATATTGTTCTTTCCATGGTCAGCTCAGAAATATTGGGAACGAACCATTTTTCCTTAATAAAAACATCTTCCGGCCTTATTTCGCTTCGAATAGCTTCTGAAGAAATGATCAGACCAAAAGACTGCTTCTGTTCTACCCGAAAACTAGATCTTAAAAACTCCCTAGTTCATCGTGCATCACTTCTAACTGCGGCTCTTAATATTTGTGCAGAGCGGCTTTTCGGCCCTGATCTCATTTCAAAGGCCTCATGCCTAGTAGACTCTGGATACTTTAACCCAAACGAATCCTTAATGAATCTCTGGCCTGGTATCCTTCAACTTGCTTCTTCTTTGTTTAAAGAATCCCGGGGAAAGATTATGGGGCCACTTGTTCGGGTCTGTCTAAATTTTATGTATTGCCTTGCTGAATTGTTTTCTTGGCTTCCACTGGATACTCCATATCAAAGTCGCTTGTTCGCTGTCATATATATATTGTCAGTTGCTGGCTCGCCTACTGTGATTTCCTCTATTGTAAAGGAATTACGAGAAGAAAATGATCAAGGCGGTTGGGCTCCTAGTCATATCATCCATATTAGTCTGGCATCGGCTTCATGCCTATACGAGGTTGCCGAGCGGAAAGAGATAGCATCATGTCTTAATCTCAATGCCAATTTAATGCGACTTTTCCTGGTTACAGAGTGTCACCTTAGCCTTGTTTCCGGGAGGTGTACTCTACCCGAGAATGCAAAATCAATAATACTTAGTGTAATACAACCTAATCAAATGCTCATTGGACATGCTGATGCCTGTAACGCTGTCGAAGCGGATGGCATGAATGAGACAGGTCTTAAAGATTACCACCAAAAATTAATTGAATTGCTCCGTCAACTTGTAACGAACTTCTTGACTGTCGCCAAGGACGCTTCCTTTTCCGAAAGTAATAAGAAGGCCTCTTTTTCCTCTGGCAACTTTTTGAGCCTTTTTCATCATTTTACTTTCACGACGGCGCAGGCAGATACAGATCTGTATTTTTCCTGTCTACGAATTTGGGATAGTTATTTAGATTACGTTCTAATTAGAAGAGAATCGGCTATGACTGCTGGGATCGACACAGATTCATTTAGGGAGGAACAAGCAGAAGCTTCGATGGTATCTGTTGCTCTTGGAAGTTCTGTGCTTTCTTCAATGCTTTATTCTGACTCCGGTGGTATACTCCTAGATGCTCTCGAAGATGATCTAGGCGAAGAAATCGATGATAGTGTAGAGGAAAAGGAGGAGGAGTGTACTGGATTGGCCACTCAATGTGGCGAACAGGATGACGATGAAGACACTTCCTTGGATCTTCTGCGTGGATTGGCTACAGGTAAAAATAAAACAGGTGGCAACAATCCCGGCGTATGTGAATACCGACAGTTCCTGCGCGAAAGCCTTCTTATACTCGGCATGGTTGCACAACTCACTCCCGATAATCTGATTGATCAGCTGCTTCGTAACTACTACTTCAATCACTTAGGGTTCCTAAAATTGGTTGATCTTTCCGCAGTTTCGAAATCTGGCCGATTTAATTTGGAACTAAGTGAGCATGCGTCTCGCCGGCTTCACTATTGCTTACGTGATTTGGCCACTACCATGCAAGCTTTAGGATATTTATCTGCCCATTTTTCACAATGTGCTCCTACTGTTGGCCAAGAATTCAAAAAGAATGAATCCCTCGGTATTTGGTTTCTACGATGTCTCGTTCAACTTCTTCAGTGCACATCCATTGTTTCTACTAGTCTCCTTATTACCGAATCTTCTGAAACTTTAATTCGGCTGGATATTATTGAATTGGCCGCTCAAAATCTGTCTACTATTCAAGGCCTTGTCACCAGTAACCTCTTGGTTTCTCTACCAAGCTCGCTTGTTGATCTAACCGGGAAAATTGTTCTTTCCTTTCCTGAGCGTGATGCTCTAGTTTTGGAACTTCTATGCATAATTGACCGACTATTACTGATGCCTTCCGTGGATATCACTAATGCTAAATACCCCGTCCCTCCACGTCTACAATTGCACGCCGCAAGGTGAGATTATTTTGTGATACTCTCTTATGTGTTTAAAGCTCAATTACGGGGTTTTAACTTGTTTCTTATATTAATTCACGAGTATGGAAATGGGTGCTATTTTCAAAGTTTAAACTGCATAATATTTGGGAGAACATACGCTTTAGGGGTCCTTTTCTCTTATTAGATACTCTAACACCATCTCTGGTAAAATCAGATTATAGTTTGGCATCGTTCCTCTTCATCAAAGCTACCCTTGTTAGCGATTTGTGTTATAAACTTACTTTTATTAAAAAATCCCCACAGATGAAAGCATTTTAGGGATCGATTTAAAGGGAGGGTGAGTATATTAATACAAGTTGGATTTCTAAGACTCCATTAATAAATGCATGTCTTGTAAGGTGGGATTACATGAAGCTAAAGACTCCCGTGAAACCTGGACTGGGTTTGTGCAAATAAGTCCCCGGCGAAGTCTCGCAACCCCTATCCATCCGTGCTAAGCTTTCTCTTAGCGTGTTACAGAGATCCTTCGCATTTGAGTCTTACTATCTACCTCCCTACTCAAATTGCTTCCCTCTATTAGCCAGGGCATCTATTGAGGATAAACTACCATCCTTTTCTAATTACATAATTAATTAAATGATCACATCTTTTCGCTTCATTAGCCTGACTAAATCATCTAGACGCTCATGTCATTTTGGTAAAAGACAGTGTCCTTCCTTATATTTAATCACTAAGTTTAGAGCCAAAATTTCTTGAATTAGGTGATCCTTCAATTGCGCTGTGAATTTATTTGTTGAACGTTTGAGAAAATTCTATCACACAGACAAACCTCGCCTTTGTTAATGAAATTAACCTTTGAAAATAAAATAAGCTATATTTATCCTGATTTTTAGACATTAGAGGATTATTTTTCGTATGTAAGTAGAGTTCCGAGAAGATTAAACATACTAGTGATTTAAGTGCGAATGCGGCCCTTGAGTCACAACCGCATCCACTTTATTTACATGTATACAATAACGGTGAACATACATTAATCAACCAAAGCACGGCGATCCTCAACAAATCTGGACTATAACTAGTAGATAGGATTCCAGCCTGTCACTTATTTTGGGCTTGGTGCTTGGTGGAAAATTTTTAAAGCATGCTTTTACTCTGAAAATGTCTATTACATGCCATAAGAATGTTCAGTACATATTCATCAGGGTTACGAGGCTGTTTGCCGAAGGCTTCATCGCGCAAGTTTGCATTTATGATTCCAGAACATCTTTCCTTCGATTTTTGATGAGGCTAATTTATTAATCCCTTACGCTCACCTCTTCAAACGAATTGAAGAGAAAAACTGCATGAATTTATTTATGAATTCTTCAAAACCATGCTTATCTCTATATGCTATTAATATTCCTTTGGTTACTCTTCCCAGATTCGGAATCCCTCCGACCTTATCCTTCCGAAAATTCCAAAACTTTGATATAGTTCAATAAGCGTGAAATTGTTGTGGAGACCTTCATTTCTTATGAAAGTGTACGAAGGAGAGATTTGTAGGTTGATCTCACCAGAAGATGACGACTGAATCCGGTTGTATTGCAGCCGTTTGGCTTTATTACGACGTTCCGATTGACAGTTCATGAAGCACCCTCCCTCGCTTCGGGTGAAAACGGTATAATGAACATCATCAGAGCTGGAACTCATTTTTGTACAAGTCGAATATAGTATTAATTTCTGTATTCTTCTTCTTAGTCTTCATGATTAGACGCTTGAACGCATTATTTCAGCTTCTTTCTCTAAAATGTCTTTTTACTCCTT